TCTCCCCAAAACCCCAAAACCCCAAAACCCCATGAGTCTCAATCATGAACACAAATCCATCTATTCGTTAATTTAAATGCTTTTTTGGAAAAATCAAATTTAAATTTAAATGTCAAAAGCATTAAAACAGAGCAGTGCAAATAGAACAGCTGGGGGAATCTACTAAAATATAAATCCTTCTACAAGTCATCGGTCACTTATTTAAGACTCCATTAATATTGCCAACACTAAGCAGTTCAAGTTTGATACATCTGGCTCTCAAAGAATCAGCCAAGTCAGAGAAAGCAAAGCTCAAAGCAAGAGTAATAGATATATTATTAAGTAACCTTATGAATAGATAAGAAGAAATCTAACAAGGAAAATTTGATAACAACTCATCAATCGGTAGAGAGATCACCCATGACTCATCAAACAGTTGAGTCAAGAGGGCAACTCACCTTCAGAACATCCATTGATAAGAAAATTATGAATTCTTAACAAGTAAGATTATTATTGGTATCTCATAAATCTCGAATTTTAGAAAAGCACAAAAGGAGGTAATTTGTTAACGAAGACTTCAGCTGGGGATGGGCATGAATAAATTTAAATTTTCTTGCGTAACGAGTCCAAGAAGTTGCTTAAAAAACTTAAGAAGACTACCAAGTCTAAGAACTTTACTCATTTGAGCAATTTCTTCATGAGCTCGACTTTGACAACAAACAAAAATACCAATAGATCACCCTAGCACGCACCTCTGAACTCGAATTCTCAGTACTACTACAGCAATACACCACAACCTCCTGAATATAATGCCATTAACTTTCATCATTCTAAGGGTGGCAGAAACTCAGTAGGGTATTACCCCAAGAGTAGGGACTAGTCGCCTACTGAATCACTCAATAGAGAACTTCAAAAGAGGAGTAAATAGTTCATTAAAAATTCCTCATAATTAAGAAGAACAAACTTGACTAATAGCAAGGTCAAAGAATCGTTGATGAAGCAGTTGACTCTTCAACAATCTAAAAAAATGCTATAGCTTGGCTCATAATATGATGGTTCTCCATAATTTGATCAGAAACTTAAGAGAGGATAGAGAATGAAGAAAATTGAAAGTTAGAGTACAACAAGAGCGAAATCATCAGCTTCTAAAGTCATGTCAAGTCTAAAACCCCAGAAAATGCCTGAAAACAAGCATGAATTTTCTTGTACTCCAAGCAGCACTTTTTCAAAGACTTAATTTATAGGCCAGTTTGCAGGCTCAGGCAGCCCTCCTGATATGAAAACAAATGGGCTTATTAATTATATGAATCAAAACTTACCAGTTTAACAGTAGTAAAACTCTCACTAATTCATGAATAATTCAATGATGAATCATTAGAAAAATCTATAAGCTCTTCAAAATTCTTGTCTGTCTGTGATCAAAGAAAAAAGCAGCAGGCAGAGTATTGGTGCTCAATAAAGATCATCTATCAGAGATGAAATGTCTGCTTCTAAGAGGGTTTCAACAGATAGGTCCATTCACATTAACAAGCCTCCATTGAGTAATTTCTCAACTTCACCAAAAACATAAAAGCCAAAGATTCCTACCTACAGACCCTATTAGCAGCACACCAGACCAGCACACATGATCAAATCTGAAAATCATTCAGTGAATAGACAGGGAAGACTTGCAATAGACGGCTAGCTAAGAAATCAAAAGAATATGAATTAAAAGTAGAGAAATTTTTATCATAAGGTTCATAATGAAAACGTCAAGTAGAAGAAGAAAGCATAGCAAGCCATTATAAACAAAGACTAGCTCGAGAATTATATTAAGGTTCTTAAAAATGAAAGCTTACCAATGATTATGAAGGACATTGAAAGAACAATGAGCAGAGAAAAAGACAAGAGGAAAAATCTTTTAAGACAGATAAATGATGATTTCGGTGGTGTGCTGAGTGACAAAACAGCTCTGATTTAGAATCAAATGAATTAAGAGCAGAATATAAACATTAATTAGGATATTCATGAGCATTTAAACTTTATGATGGAAACAACTCCTAGTATAAATGATCATCATAACAAAGAAAATATTCTAAGCGCTGAATCGCAGAGGATGATACATTTGAAATCAATTAAAAACTATACTAAGAGAGACAAGAATCTTGAAAATGCCTTATTTGGGTGCAAGCTAAAGTTCACTGATCAACATAACTCTCTAAGAAGTTCATTAAGCATGAAAATTCAATAGAACCTAAAGAGAATATAGACTGGTTCTGGGTCTGGAATCATTGATGATGGAAAGGAGTATATTAATTAGCAACCGTGCCAGAAAAGTCTACTGAGGTCAATTTCAAATAGACAGCTTAGCATGCAATCAGACCTAATTTAAACTTTGATATCTAACAATGAAGGGGATTTAACTAATTTCGATTAGAATTTTATGCAGCCTACTAAAAACTAATACAAACTCTAAAGGTTGACTAAGAGACTAAGCGACGACAATACGACTTCAACTTCAAAAGAGAAGAAAACCAACATAAGATCTCAAATGACTATTGGCGATGACAAGAATGGTATTTCAAGAGCTGATATCAACAGTATCAATCATTAAATATTTCATATTGAAGAATACACAACTCCAAGACTCAAACCTTAAGCTTAAAGTTCCCCTACTCAGATAACTGAAAATAACGAGACCCCTCTAAATAATACTTTTATCGATCAAAATGATCTCAGAAAATAAGTTGAAGCCAAATTGTAAATATATTAGTTCCAGAGAGTCTATGGAAAAACATTTGATCATTAATAGGATAATCAGTGTGATATTACCAACTTTTCAATGGAGCTAGACATGCTAAACAAAATGCAAATCTAGAAAAATAACTTTGATGAAATTGATCAACTACCAGTAATGCATGAATAGCTTTTACCAGATTTGTCTTGTTCATTATATAAGGAAGAAAAAAGCTACAATGGAAAAATAGTTCGATTCTCTAAAGATGAAAGAAACAAAATATTCTTTTAAGATCCATATAGAGGGAAGCCAAAGCTAAAGGTTGACAAAAAGAAGATTCAAATGATAATGCAGAATAACTACAGATTACTTGAGGATATGGCAAGAAGTTCTTAAGACTTCTTTTAAGGAGGATATGTACCCTAGATTCCTGTGTAACAATATTACAACGATATTTATTCAAGAAGTGATGAGACTTCCTTTGATAATCAAAGAGCATTCAAGTATTAGCAGCAAGTCCTTCAAGATAATTATCTAAATATATGCAATAATCAACTGTAGCAAATATTCACCAGAGACACATTTTAAAAACTTGAGGAAATATCTTTAGAACAGTAATAGTATATGCAGATAAATCAGATGTATGGCAACAATGAAGATGATGATGGCATGCCTTAAATAATTAATATGTCCGATTCGAGCTAGATTATTGCGAATAACACTTATAGGCAAACTCTTTCAAATATTCCATTCAACCCATTCTCAACTGTTTTGAGACAGCCTAAGCAATCAAACAATCTAATTCAATGTGACTAATAAAATGAGCTTTTACTTCTTAATACCTCTCATGAAGATTCATCTAGCTTAACAGAGACTACTTTCAAAGATTCTCAATAAATCGATGAGAAAGTCTTGAAACTGATTGGAAGGGAAAGCTTCGATGAACTGGAATCTATCAAGGAAGACTCTTAATTATACTTTGGGAATGCTCCAATAAAGCAGTTCTAGCATCAAAGAATGTTCAGTAGAAACAGTAATTTATCCTATAATCCATTCGGAAATGCTATGTTTAGCAGAGATTGCGCTTAGAATAGTTTCTTTGGAGTTGTGGAAGAAGAATAGAAAATCTCTCCATTTAATTAGTTTAACTTCAAGTTATAAAGATAATTATTCAATAGTAGCATTACCATAGCTTCCCCATAAAAACCAACAATAGCGACTGAATCATTCAATGATCCGCTTGAGTAAACTAAAATAAGGGAAGAACTGCAGCTTCCAAAAATTGATAACTACTAGTATGTTTCGGTTTACCGAGTCATTCCGTATCCAATTCTTTCTAATTAAGGAATGAATTAATTACACTTCAAGATCTATGACGCTGTAGGCTGGTTTGAGAATCAAACAAGGGTCTAAGAAAATTTGCCAAATCTGGAGTATTTCGATTTCGACAAGCCAGACTTTGATTTAATGAGCTCTGACCTTTCAATTGATTAATAATACACTGGGGAAGATTTTAATGACGGAGAGTCTTAGAATTTATTGTCAGAGTCGTATAATTGAATGATTGATATATAATATATCTATATCCTAATTAGTAATTGCCATAAATTTATCTAAATGTGCTCTTAGGGGTTTTGGGGTTTTGGGGTTTTGGGGAGATCGGAAG